CATGGTCTAGGGTGCACATTGACTACGCTGGGCCCTTTCATGGCCAGTTCTTCTTGGTCCTTGTTGACAGCCATTCAAAATGTCTTGAGGTTGTGCCTGTCTCATCCACCACCACTGCAAAGACTATTCAGGTACTGAGGGGGATTTTTGCTGCACACGGGCTGCCAGATGTCATTGTGTCCGACAACTGCCCTCAATTCACCTCCTCCGAATTCCAAGCTTTCTTACAGGCAAACCTGATTCGTCATGCCACGTCTGCGCCTTTTCACCCGTCCACCAACGGTATGGCTGAACGCATGGTGCGCATCGCAAAGGCCGCCTTGAAGAGACTCACCTACGGGGACTGGCATCACAGGTTGGCTGACTTTCTCCTTTCTTATCGCACCACACCGTCCACTTCTACAGGTAGAAGTCCAGCTGAACTTCGTTGGGGGCGCCAACTTACTACTAGACTTGACCGGTTGCATCCGGACAGACTGCCTTCATCTACCTCACATCCTAGGGCACCTATACAACTACTTGTGGGTGCCCCGGTTTGGGCTCGCAATTACGGGCCTGGTCATACATGGGTCCCCGCTTCTGTGTCCAGGATCACAGGTCCTCTCTCCTACGAGGTTGCCCTGGACAACGGTCGTGTCCTGCGTCGGCACATCGACCAACTCCGCTCTAGGCGGGACTTTTCTGCTGACACTCCTGGGTCTTTTCCAGGGGGGGAGGGGGACCCTTTGGAGCAACGGGAAGGGCAAGAGTTACTGCCCATCTCCACTGAGGGAGCCACAGACGGCTCGGCCCAAGATTCTGCAATTGCTCCGAAAAGGAAGTCATGGAGCTTACCCACACAACAGGCATCCACGCCTACTCCAGCCAGGGAGTCACCCCGGGGGCATACTCACTTTCCACACATATCACACATCACTCCAGTCACGGAGGATACCCGGGGGCATCCCAACAAATCATTCCCCGCAAGAGAGCTGGCACACAATCCCCAAAGTTGGCCTGACCTTACCCCAAATCCTACAGAGGGTCAATCATACACAGAGCTAGTCGAGGAACCAAGTCCCGACTACAACAACCCTAGCACAAATCAGGGAACACCTGAGTTTTGGGAAAGTACAGAAACCCACATGAGCCCGAACACAGAATGGGGTTCAGGGAATGGACAGCCTCCTGACAGGTCTTGGACTGACCTAGGAGGTTCTACAGAGACGCCCAGCAGTGGCCATCACTTCAAGGGGCCCGAGGGTCTACAGCTAGGCAGGTCAACCATGTCACAAAGCAACAGAAGCCCTGGCCTGACGAGCCCGGTGGGCAAGCAAGCAGGCCAGGCATCGGGGCACAGTCCTTGGAAGACACCAGGGCACAAGAGAGAGAATAGGCTCACGCCTCCCTCCAGTCAGGGGACTTATGCCAGTAACCCACAGCTAAGAAGGTCACAGAGAGCAAAGAAATCTCCCAAGTACCTAGAAGACTACATAACATGGCTGGCAAGGCAAAGGCCAGTAAACAGTGGGAGCACTGGGGAGCAAAATGTTATATAAAATAAATGCTGTATGTTGGTAGTAGTTTTAGCCCGGGGGAAAGGGGTGTTATGTCCCGAGCCTTTGCAAACGGCTCGGGCGTTTGCAGGCAGTCCCGGGCAGGTGCAAAGCTGCCCGGGACCAGACAGGCTGTCGCCAGCGCCGTGCGCATGCGCGGGTGCTGGCGCGGGAAAAGTAACCCATTTACCCGGGAGTTGCCTATATAAGGGGCTGCGAGGCGTTTGGGCTGAGCTGAAGCCATCTTCCTGTAAGCTGAACGCTGAATAAAAGAACCTGAGGACTCCAGCTGCTTCTCGTGTCTGTTTTCCCGCCAAGGACGCAACAGAACCCTGGAGAAAATCTATGTATTGGATTGCGAAGAGTTGACACTGACTGACTTGATGGCACATAATAAATCATCAGCTCTTGCAAAACATGAGCTTCTGATATTGTTGATGATGCACTCATGAAGCAACACCATCCTGGATTTGTAAACATTTTCTTGCTCACTGGACAAATTATTTGCCACTCCCTCCAGGTCATGTTTCAACCCAGAGAAGGGTTTACAGGCTTCTATAAGTTGATGGTTTTATAAATATGCCCTCCCTTGCAACTATCCCAGGTAACCATACGCTGTGGTTTCACAAGGCTTGGTAATAGACTGCCATAGTGAATATAATTTTTTTTAGGCCTTTGCATTTGTAAACGGCTTAATTTGTTAAAGGGACATCAAACTGTTTATTCAGGCAGGAAAAGTTTAGCAATATCCATGACAGGGAGTAGAGTATGAACTATGTCCCTTTGCTTTCTTCAGAGAAGCAGTGCAGGGGAAACAGAATGAAATGGGGACTTTGTATTGCATTGGAAGGGGAGCAGATGAGAGAATGCATGCAGGGCTGTTCTTCCCCCCACCAAAAGATGCGGCAATACAAACAACAGAAATGGGCCTATTCCCTCAACAGTGCTACACATACTTCTCTTTTGGGACATTTCTTTATCATACAAAATATAATGTATGATATGAAAGAGAAAAGGGTTGTAAACCGTTGTGAGTCTAAGGGGACAGCTGTGCAAATTGTCCTGAATTCAATGTATTATTAATTCAAAGAAGTGGTTTCCATCATGTGACAGGACCTTGGTGTGATTTATTTACTTTTGGCATACTTGGTGAAAGTAGCTGTGGTGGTTTATGATTTTGCAAGTTGTAAATCTAGGCAATTATGGCTCATTCAATAAGCCATGGCTACAATCAAGTAGTTGCATAATGCAATACATAAATCAGCCAATGTACTTGTGTTTAATGCAGTGGTTATCAATCTTTTTAATGCCGCGACCCCCCACCGGTCGTAAGTCGAGGACTACTCAACTGGTGCAGCACCGTTTGCAGAATGGGACTTTTGGCGGGCTCAGCAGAACACAGACAGCCTGGACAATTCCTATTGGCTTTTGAAAGCCAATACAATTAGACTCTATTCAAGAGAGTCTATTCTATTGGCTTTCAAAAGCCAATAGAATAAAAGGGAGTAGCACAGCTAAGGAAAAGGGGGGAAAAATGGCGGACTGCGTTGTTTGGCGACCCCCGTGAAATGGTCGTTCGACCCCAAATGGGGTCCCGATCCACAGGTTGAGAACCACTGGTTTAATGGTATGAAAGAGAGGGTTTAATCATGGATCCATGGATTTGGCTGGTTAGTACACCCTTCCAAGTCACTACCGCCACAGACTATAAAAACAAGTTATACCTTCATAGAGCATGTTCTCTTTTCTCATTCCCTTTTCCATATCCAGCATGATCTGTTCCTCATCCTGCACGATCTGTTCTTCATCCCACATAATCTTTTGACCTTTTTTGATCCTGTGACTTTTTTCTGAAAAATATCATCAGTCTAACTGTGGTTGGTTCATTCATAAAGAAGAGAAATCCTTGCAGCCATTTATCTGCCATTGTATGTGTATCTACCATTCACAGTACAATCCCAAGTAAGGGAGTATAAGGAATTTAAAAATAGGTTTGCTATGCAAGATGCATTCAGGCAATGTATTGCTATGTGGTATCCTCCTATGTTTGGAACTGCTTGCTTCAAATTATCAAGAAAGAAACAAATATTTTATACTAACATCTGAGAGATTACTGTTATGCCTAATTAGTGTTTGCTGTAGTCAATTTAAATATGGTTTATATATAACTCAACAGAATTCATGCAGCCCAGGAAGGCTGGGGTATATTTCATTGAATTAGTTCTTGAATGTATCATGCTGTATTTTTACCATTTTAGGAAGTAGTACCGTATATTCTGGCGTATAAGATGACTGGGCATATAAGACGACCCCCAACTTTTGAGAAGATTTTCAGGGTTTAGAAAGTCGTCTTATACGCCGGAAAATACGGTACAATATTGAATTTCTGTTTATAGATGAGCACAATAGGAGCTCTATTTCTTTGCTGCTAGAAAGCGAGTGTTGCCCACCACTGCTTCCCTAATGCTTCCTGAACTCAGCTGGTATTTTTTTCCCCATATATTTTATTGATTTTTTAAAACATAAATCACTTAATAGTTGGTAAACAGTGTGTTTGCTGAGTTTACATTTGTAAAGAAAAATTTTAAAATTTAAATGGGATTTTTGAATGCTTTGTCCTGCTGGCTGTGGAATTCTGGGAGTTGAAGTCCACATGCCTTAAAATTGTCAAGGTTGAGAAACACTGTGTTAGTGCTTATTTCTGTAAAAAAAAAATAGGGCTGGCCACTAGGGGGCAGATTGGTTTTAAATTCAGAGAACAGCTACCCGGCGTATAAGACGACTCCGACTTTTGAGAAGATTTTCAGGGTTTAGAAAGTCGTCTTACACGCCGGAAAATACGGTATATCCCATGTGTTTTACAAGTGAGGATTTACAACAAAGTGCCGTATTATGTTGGTGGCCTGTAATAGGAGTAGAGCAAGATTCCATATACACTGAACTGAGAAAAAAAAAAGAATTTCTCCTAATGTCTTCAGCCTTTCATCCACCCATTTTGCACTATGGCAGCTCAGTGTTCACATAAGAATATTCTTAGAATCCCAAAATCGAGTTCTATTCCCTTCCCACTCATAGAAATTCCTTGGTTGACTTTGAGTCAGTCATTCAACCAAGCCTACTTCATAGGGTTGCTTCTGAATGGATAAAATGAAGAGAGCCCCCCCCTCCTCCTCCCCCTTCCCTTTCTCCTCTAAAACAAACCTAAACTTAAGAAATGGAATCAGTACCTTGACTTTCCAGTTTTCTATCAGACTTGCTCAGTTCTAAGTATATGGTGGCAACTTTCTCTGGACCTTTCATCTCTTTAGCAATCAGCTGTTTACTGAAGACTTCATAGTTATAATGAGAAATGAATGGCTTTTTAGGGACAGGTTTCTGGATTACAGAACGGAGAGGAGAGGTTACCATAGTCACACCGCTCACCACAAAATCTGGTGATAACTGAAATGGATACTCTCTCGCTGTAGGAAGCTGTAACCGAATAGGGATACGACGGTTTTGCATTGGGAAACTAGGGGGACCAGTCAAATGGACAGGGATAACAAAGTTCCTCTTAACAGGGCCTGGAACCTGGACACCAACATCATCATCTGGAAAGCACAAAGAAATGGGTTGGCTCTTTTCAGGCTGAGGAGGCTGGCTGTCGACATCTCCAAGCACTTTTTCGGGCTCTTTCTCTTTTTCACCAGCACCTGTTTTGTAGAAACAAATATGACAGATGACAAAAATAAAACAATGCAACATCAGAATTACGACACCTGTAAACTGAATGTATATTTGCTATGTATCTATAAACTTTATAACTAAAATAAAAAATGTATTGTTTAGGCATGAATTATGTAGAACAAAACTGCTGGCTCCGCTCATTATATCCACCTATACATATTCTCACACCAGCATCCAGTAAAAAATGATAAAGAACAGCCCATTGGCAATTGTTCCTGAAGCAGAAGTAATGGGGCAGTACAGGAAGTCCTCAACTTATAACCATTTGTTTAGTGACCCTTCAATGTTACAACAGCAGTGAAACAAGTGACTTATGGTCATTTTTTATACTTACGACCATTGCACTATCACCATGGTCACATGATCAAAATTCGGCCGCTTGGCAACTGGTTCATATTTATGATGGTTGCAGTGTTCTGGGGATCACGTGATCACTTTTTGTGGCTTTCTGACAAGCGAAGTCAACGGGGAAGCCAGATTCACTTAAGAACCAGGTTACTAACTTAACAACTGCAAGGATCCACTTAACAACTATTTATAATTTGTGTTCATCAGTTTCAGAATTGCATCACACTGCATCACAAAAATATCCACTCCCGGCTCTGATGTGGGTTGAAACATTCCTGAAACCAGGATGGTGGTGAATCAGTACACTGTAAATACCTCCCCCTCCCCTTATGTTGCCTTGCATGGTAGACTCTAGATTAGAGATTTTAGCCTGAAGAGAATAATGTGAAGAGGTTGAGGGTAAAACTGGGCTTTGTTGATCTTCTGGCATGTTAACCAAACAGTACCAACTTTGTTGTTTGTAGGAAATGTTCTACATTTCTTTTCTTTTTTAAAAAAAAGTTTTTTATTTGTAATATACTAAAACAAAAATGGACAAGCGTGACATTCCAGAATAAGTTTTCCTAACAGTTTGTTTCTCATGGTACAAAAACATAATACATCATTCTTAACCTCTATATAAGCCTCATCCTTCTATATAATACAATTAAATAAACAATTATATGTACAGTTAGATATATATTTCAATCCTATCATTAACTTGAGATCCGAGCAGTCCTTCTTAATTCATACCAACGGTAAAATTTGTCCCAGATTTTGAAGTATTCGAGTTCTGTCTTGTCCTTCATAATCATTGTAAGCCTGTCCATCTCAGCACATGAAAGGATTTTATACAGGATCTCTTCTTCCATTGGAATTCCTTTATTCCTCCAATTTTGGAAATGTTCTACATTTCTAAAAGTGTGATGATCCAATGACCCCTGGGGTCCCCCAAGACTCTTTGAGAGGCTCACAAAATCAAAATTATTTGCCAGATATTGAAGACATTTGCAAAAATGTAAAACAGTGTCATATCTGTTAAAATAAATTATTTCATGAAAAGTATTTTATTTATCTTGATGTATAATGGATTTAATATTGTTATTTTTACACAATTCAATAAACAAATATTCTACAAATGTATCAATTTCAAATTTTAATCTGGAAAATATTGATACATTTAATTATTTATTAAATTTATTTGCCGCCCATCTTCCCATCTGGGTGGCTTACAACATTAAAATGATAAAATTATAAAAATGTAAATATTAACAATAATAAAACAATGAAACAATAAAAACAACAGCAAAAGTACAGCATTATGATTAAAAGATGGGTGAGACTAGATATAAATCATTCAAGCAAAATCTCTTTGGGGGGTCCTCCATAATTTTTAAAAGAAGGAAAGGGTCATGAGAAAAAAAGTTAAAAAACACTGCTCTTCATTTACTTTACAAGCTTTTCCTGTAAAGGGCCAGGTCCCACCCTTCTTCTACCTCCACAGCCACAGCTGGCAGATCTGTGTATAAACCAGGTTTTTGGTCTTTAGCAAATATTTGAAATGGATAAGTATGAGAAAAAAACTGTTGCATGTTTATTGATTTAGAGAAAGTTTATAATACAATTATTTATGAAATTCTATTTATGAAATTTATTTTCCACCCATCTCATATCCAACGATTTTCATTATGAAACTTAATAAATCAAATAAGTATGCAATGTTTCATCCCGGTATTGGTGTGATAAGAGTGGTATAATGTATATGGAAATAAAGCGTGCATGAGAATAAATTGAACACTTAGTGAAAGATTCAACAGAGACAAGGATGTATGGAGTTCGCTTGGTCATTTAATTTATTCATAAATAAATGTATGATTGTGATGATGTCAGAGATATATAGTTTGAGGATGTGAATATATGTATGTTTTTAGATAATGCTACCTTATTTACCACAAACACAAAGCCTTGCAGAGAATGTTAGAAAATATGATACAAAGAGCAGATGGATTCAAAAATTAATTATGAGAGACAAGACCATTGAGTTAAACATGGAAAATGATGACAACTTATAGATAAATATCTATGGAGAGTCTCAGTCATCCAGGTCATAGTTATCCCAAACATACTTTTTCACGAGGCAGCTAGACTTTCTTGTTTCTCTTTGAAGACATTTCACTTCTCATCCAAGAAGCTTCTTCACGTCTGATTGGATGGCGGGGAATGGAAGGATTTATACTCCTTGCAGAGAGGCTGGTCATTTGCAGTCTTTTAGAGAGTCGTTGATGCCACCTGGAGGTTTATCTGTGTCCTCAGGGTCACCTAAGTGATGCTAATGGGTGTGGAGCCTTCTTGGAACTATTGAAAGGATTGTGTTGTAGACCGGAGATAGATGATGTCATATCCCTCCCCCTCTGTTGAGAGAGGGCTATTCAGTTTGACATAGATGGCCTCTTTGATCCGTCTTTCAAACCAGCGGTCCTCTCTGTCCAAAATGTGGACTCATGAAAAAGCATCTTTGGGACTACAGATATATGGTGAAAAAGTAGAGAAAGATGATCATATAACTCAGCAGAATGTTTACTAAGAAGAGAGAATAAATGGATATATTAGAAAATCTGGAAATGCTAGTTGTTAAGTCCTCTCAGTAATGGCGAATGATGAAGACACATCTTACAAGGAACAACTCTTTATTTCATTTCCAGCCAAAACTCCAACAATGAGCAAAGGCACGCAGGCCTCCTTTTATACACCCAGATCCCCGGACACAATGGCGGCAACGAACAGGCGCTTTTCCCACCTTGTGCATGCACGCAAAGCCGGCGCCACTCAGTCTGGTCCCGGGCAGCTTCTGCAAGGTCCGGGACCATTGCAACATCCCGAGCTTGCATTTGCAGGCTCAGGACACAACACCCCTCCCCCCTAGATTGAATCATTCCTGACATCTTCAACATTCTTCTTTGGGAAGAGTGTCATACTGCCTCACAGTCAACATGGAAAGGAATGCCTGAGGTTGACTCCACCCACAAGCTCTTCCCCATTGTTTTGGTGAATAGATATACCCGAAATCATAAATAAAACAAAATAACAATGTTAGTCAATGACTTTAACAGCATTACCCCCGGAACTGGACAGCAACTTCACAAAATCTGAAAGATATTTGGGTGGGCACTTGGCCCTTTGTGACCTCCTCGGACCGGTTTGCTTGGTCCCCTTTCTCGCCCACCAGACTGGGTGAGCCAAAATGTTGCTGTCCACTTGCCCCAGGTGAACCTGGTGCTGATGCCTGACCTACCTGCTCCCATGCCAGGCTCCACGTTTGCAAATTGTGCAGCCCTGTAACCTGGATTCCCAGAGCCTCGAACCAATCAAGTCCTATAAGACTCGTGCGTTCACCCCCAACAACCAACACTTCTAAGGGAACTTCAAAATCCTTGTACTGTACCTTAAGGATGGCCTCCCCCTTAACACACAACTTAGAATTCTGAAAGTCTGTAAGTATTACATTGGATGGCCTGAGTTTAACTCGAAGGCCACTGCTGCTGCAAATTTTCCTGAATGTGTTGAGGGAAATTATGGAGAGAGCAGACCCAGTGTCCAACTCCATGGATAAAGGAACTCCTTGCAACCTTACTTAAAGGACAGTTTCTTCTTTAGGGGTTTATGTGTGCCTGTCCTTAAAATACTTCTGCGCGTTGCACAGAAAGCCACCCTGTTTTGGCTGGGGACCCTGGTACCTGTCAGATGCAATTCTTCACGTGGTTGTGCCTTCTGACGACCCAAACAGACATATGCGATGTGGCCTTTCCTGCCACATGCTCTGCAAATGGCGGGACGGAACCTGCAGTCAGCTCATTTGTGGTGTCCTCCGCACCCGAAGCATTGAAGAGCTGTTGGGGCCTTTTCTGTGCATTCCTTCTGTCTCCTTCTGGCTGCCTGGTGAAGCTTATCCACCTCTTCTTCAGGATCTTCCTCCGAATCTTCTCGCACGTTCTCCTGGTGGATGGTGACTGTCTCTGGAGAGCTTCTGGTGGGCCGCAGATTCTTTATTGCCCTGCCTGCTGCTTCCTCTGCTGTAACCTCTCACAGAGCATCTTGGAAAGAGACATCTTCTTTAGCAAAGATCTTCTGCTGTAAATCTCTGTTCCTTAAACCACATACAAAACGATCGCGCAGCCTTTCTTCCAAGTCTTTAAACTCACACGGTCTGGCTGCTCACCTCAAGGCCACAATAAATTCCTTAGCAGATTCACCTGCCCTCTGGTCCCTTTGTTCAAACGTGTGCCTCCAAGCAATGATGGACAACTTAGGCTGGAAATGCTCTTTCAGAAGTTTCTTTAAGTCAGTATATGTTACTGACTCCAGGGAAGCAGGGGCCACCAGATTTTCTGCAATCTCAAAGGCTTCGTGTCCATAGACACACAACAGGGTTGCAGCCTTCAAACCATCTTCTCTGATCTGGTTTACCCTGAAGTAATTCTCCACCCTCGCAATGTAGAACTCCCATCTCTCTGGATGTGAGACATCAAACTCGGATAAACGGCCGATCTTTGCCATCCTAAATTTCCACTTCACCACTCGCTTCTCTTAGGGAATGGGTCTTTCAGCCGAACTCACCTTCCAGCGACGCTGTACTGGCAGGCTGGGACGCTGACTTTAACACCATCTTCCCTCTTCAGGACTTCTATAGGTGAGGCTTTAAAGCTTCCTCTTGTTTAGCTTGTAAAGAATCCCACCTTCATCGCCAATGTTAAGTCCTCTCAGTAATGGCGAATGATGAAGACACATCTTACAAGGAACAACTCTTTATTTCGTTTCCAGCCAAAACTCCAACAATGAGCAAAGGCACGCAGGCCTCCTTTTATACACCCAGATCCCCGGACACAATGGCGGCAACGAACAGGCACTTTTCCCACTTTGCGCATGCGCGTAAAGCTGGCGCCACTCAGTCTGGTCCCGGGCAGCTTATGCAAGGCCCGGGACCATTGCAACGTCCCGAGCCTGCATTTGCAGGCTCGGGACACAACATCAGTAAAAAAGGAGTAGATAGTATGTGATTAGTTGCAAGGAAGGAGTTTTTGTTGAACAATGTGAAAATGGCGATGTGTACAAATGTAATCTACTTTATTACATGGAAGTCAGAGCAGGATATGTCAAGAGAGACCTAAAAATAAGTTGAATGCAATGGGAACGGGGCACATAGGACGTGCATGTTGGTAAGAGGCTGTACAACCAAGAATGAATATGGGATGAATTAAAAATAGAAGGACCAGTCTCAAAATATTATGTTTGTGATAGTATAATGAATGGGGATTGAATTCTAAGTCAAATACAGTATATGCCAAAAGGGGAAGACAAGAAAAAAAAAAGTTGATGGATGGGTGGTGTTGATCAGATTTCAAGAAGAAAATTTACAGAATAGAATTCAGTATCTAAAGCAATGTATGGATCCAGCAGAAGCAAGAATGATTTGTAAGCCTGGAAAGAAATAGACAGATTCAGAATGCTGTCAGTCAAAACTAGATTAAATTCTGTTTCTGTTTTTTTTAACTTTCCCCCTTTAATTTCTTTGGCATATTAAGGCCTTTCTGCAAAAAACTGCTTACACTGAAAGAGAATGGAGTGTTGAGGAAAAATCCTGACTGTGCTCACTACAAACGAGATTTTCTTTTAAGGAAACCATGAGAAGTGGTGGGATTCAGCCGGTTCGCACCACTTCGGCAGAACCAGTAGCTAATTTTTTGTTGCCCAGGCCCAGAATGGACTTCTGGAAGCGGCATCCACACAAAGAACCGGTTGTTCACATATTTGAATCTCACCACTGCCACTGAGTCATAAATCATCATCTACTTATCATAGCACAGGGTCAGCCAGAGTCAACACAGTGTGCCCACACCTGAGTTATACATCAGCTTTTGGGAAAGCAATACAATAAAGAGTAATGCTATACGTAGGTAAACCTTGAACAAAACTACCTTACCTTTAGTGCATTTTTTCTTTGGAATATATGGTTCAGGTTCCATCTTTGGAGACAAAGGTCTCCGGAGCAACTGAAGCTGAGACATGGTCTTACGTTTGTTAAATCTGTAGTATGTCAAGAGATAATATAGCAATAAAGAAAATTTAAAAATAAATCAAAATAACTAACAATCTGAAAGAACATTAAAGGAAGCACCAAAGAGATAGAAAATTATAAACAAATAAAACTTCCAATTAAAAAAAAATGTTAAACAAATTGCTTGGAAAAAAACTTTCTCCTTGGTCCTTTATTAAAAAAATAATCAGACAACAAATGTCAAGACTCCATTGCTGGAAATCAAAGTAATTACAACTTCATTTCCTTCTTCCCCTTCCCCTTTCCTTTCCCCTTCTCCTTCCTTCCTTCCTTCCTTCCTTCCTTCCTTCCTTCCTTCCTTCCTTCCTTCCTTCCTTCCTTCCTTCCTTCCTTCCTTTCTTCCTTGAGGCAAACATATACCTGCATGTGAAGGAATCCTCCAGTAACTTCATTCCTCTTGTTTTGAACCTCTGTATGTATTTCCCAGTTATATTTGTCCAACCCATTTGATCTACTTCTCTAGGTCTGCTACAGCAGTAAACCAAGATCATGCAGCAGAAATACTGCAAGCTCCCTAAAATCACCCAAGTATACAAATCATTGAAATAAATAAATGAAATGACTATTTTAAAAGGCAGCTGAGAATGTGTTTACTGTATTTTTTGAAGAAGGTCTTGAAACAGTTAGGCTTCTCGCATGGATAGGTTCCACTAGGCAGCCCTGAAATAACTCAATGGGAAGCTGTCAGATCTTTCAGAAGAAGGGGAGGCACCCATGTTTCCACTGATGAATTTCTGTCTTTAGGGAAAGAGAAAGAGAAAGAGAGAGAGAGAGATTTTCGAGTTCGGTTTGTCTGATCTAGACGCCCTCACCAGCCATTGCTTACATAGGCTCTGCTCTGTATTCATTCAGGACATATAATAGTAATGATAATAATAATGATGATGATGATGATGCCAATGGTGTTCAAGTGGTGCTCAAGTTGTGCAATCCCAAAACAACTTGAGCACACTTGAACACCATTGGCATTAACAAATTTGCCATTAGTCAATTGCAAAAGGCGGCCTTACTAGGAACTGCTTCCATCCTGCGATGATACCTGTAATACCATCAAACATCCACATCTGCCTATCCCAGGTCCTGGGTAAGGACTCGATAGGTAGACAAAATGCCAAATCCAGTCTGAACATCTGGCTGACTATGCAATGATCCATCATAATAATAATAATAATAATAATAATAATAATAATAATAATAATAAAAAAGTTGGAAGGGACCTTGGAGGTCATCTAGTCCAACCCCCTGCTCAGGCAGGAAAGCCTATACCATTTCGGACAAATGGCTGTCCAGTCTCTTCTTAAAAACTTCCAGTGTTGCATCCTTCCATTTGCATCCATTCTTTTTCCACATTTTAGCTCTGACAAACATGGACAAAATAGCTCTTGGTTTTCTCTATTTAAAAGCATGGGACCCAGACATACTCTTTTTTGTGCTTGCAAATCAGTTTTTAATTCTTGGCAACTGCCTGGACAAGTCTTTGCAATTTTTTCAGCAAGTCTTTTCAGAAGCCATTGCTGTTATCTTCTTCCTAGAGCTAAGAGAGAATAACTGGCTTTGTGCCTAAGGCAGGACTAGAACTCATGACCTTTCCAGTCTTTATTTATATGATAGTTATCCTGCTACAGACTGTTGATCCCTTACAAATATTATAAAAACTTCATATTTATTTTCCTTATTTATTCTTTGACACAAATATTTATAGCATTCATTTCAATTCGAAACCTTGAAATATCTAAAACATTTCTTTGAACTTTTCCTCACTTTACTTTCATTCCAATACATTACTTTTACTTTTGCTTATTTTTCCCAGAGTTCCTGGTTTAACCCTTTTGCTGCTTTGGAAAGAAATTAATAACTCCTAGAGCTACTATGTTCTACAGAAAAAAAACGCTAACAAGTCTTATTCTAGAAAGATTACCTACATTTTATATACAGTAACTTGCTCCAAGTTCTAATTGTCAGGGATTTGCAACTACCGGTATTGCTACAGTAGTCTGCATTAACTGAAGACCATTAGGTTTTATAAAAGGTCTAAGTTAGTGATGGTGAATTTATGATACTTGTCTCCAAGCTGACATGCCACAATATTTTGGGTGACAAAGTAGTGTTTACCAACAACAACTGTTCTAGACACCATGCCCTATTCTCATACAATTTTTGGATGCTGCAGAGATTGCACTTGAATATGGTGTGCTCACCGCTGGGCTTCACACAAGAATGGGGCATGCTATTACACAGTTTTCAGAAGCTGTGGAAGAGCATTCTCCAAAGCTGTTTTAAGAACAAGGGCCTTGTGCAATCTGGAGCAGCTTCGAGTAGGCTACAGGGGCCTGTCAACAGAGAAAACACTGTCCGAAGGTAAGTGACACATGGCAGATCCTGGGAATCATTGGACTTTGAAGGCAATCTTGCCGTTCCTCAAAGCTTGCACACTTTGGGGGAAATGGCCTGAGGCAGCCTTTTTGATAGCAGTTGTGACACTAGGACTGAAGCTGAAGCTGGCCAAGGTTTCTACTTCAAGCCCAGCCTTGGCATTGCCACTGTGTGCTACCGTTCACAGGGTGGCCTAGATGGGAGAAGAGAGAAAGTTATTCCTATTTTGTTCAGGTGTGGAAGTGTAACACACCAGCAGAGTCAAATTAGGCAGTTTCCAAATTTTTGACATGCCGAGGCCAAAAGCTTTGCCTCACTGGCTTAAGTGCAGGAAAGTGATCAGAAAGGCAAAACAGGAATTTAGCCTCTGAATGGGCAGGGAATCTCCAAGTGCCAAAGGGCAGGCTGATGGTTCGGCCCCTTCAAAGTAATATAGATTACTATCAAAAAAGAGCAGGGAGAACTTTTACCTAAAATTATGTAGCTGTTAACAACTGTATCTACATGCAAATAGGCACATCCATCAGTAAGTTTCATATAGACCTTGAAAGTTGATTCAGATCTATGTCATGTTTTATATTAGTATTCCTCTCAGCCTTGAAATCTCTTACCCCAGAAGGTCTGATTAAACAAAACTTCCTGGAGACAATTTTATCCCATTTCTGTAGAAGAAACACTAAGATGTAACTCTCAAACTGTGAATATAAATTCCTCTTGTCATCTGCCAGCTGTCTATTCAGAATGCCTGTAAAGATCAGAAGCACCTGTTAAAAAGGATCAAAATGTTTATTTCAGCTTTATTCAGGTTGCTTCTAAACAGTTTTCTTTCATCAGGTGGTGGATCACAGAGACACAAAAGCCTTTTGCAATGCTGACATCCGAAATTAGTTGTGGAAAAGAAAGTGTTTTTCAGTCCCATGTGATTTAACTCTTTTAGCTCTTCTCAAGAAATGGAGGAAATAATGGTGTGCCATGTTGTCTAGTGAATTCTTACCTTCCAATTGTATGCTGGGAGCCATGCTATGCTGCACTGGCAAGGTGTACCTAACATTCTGGGAGACAAAGGAACAATATGACGGAAGGATCTTTGTGATTGGCTAAGGGAATAAATGACCATTCCATTCTACAAAGAATCAGAAGGGAAGTATCCATATACTCGGTATTCACACACTGTAGATCTCTTGCAGCCCAGAAATTGAGGATTGTGGGCCATCCAAGTTCTTAAGAGGTGTCTATGGAGATTCTCAGTCATCCAAGCCATGGTGGTCCTAAAGGTGCTTTTTCAAAAGGCAATTGAAATTTATTTGTTTTTTCTTTGAAGATGTTTTGCTTCTCATCCATGAAGCTTCTTCATTTCTGACTGAATGGTGGGGAATCTTACTGAATTCCCCACCACCATGAAGTAGTTTCTTGGATGAGAAGCAAAAAGTCTTCAAAAAAAGAACAAAGAAAATCCAGTTGCCTTTTGAAAAAGCACCTTTGGATTAAGAGGAAGTGTATAAATTATTGTATAAATAGAAAAATGAGATAAATGTGGGCTGCCAACTGCTCTTTAAAGCTATTCAGTAGTTAATCTAGGACATGTAGTGGGTGAGGCTATAAATATGGAACATCCCTACAATTCTGGAGTTGTCCCCAAATCTGCTCCATTAGGGATAATGATATGGATTCAAGAACTGTAATTTATAAGCTGTTGGTTTATGGCTCTGCCTGGTGGGAAAATCTAGCTAAATGGGTTTTTTTTCCTCAAAAACGTGGTTAAAGAAACCATGACCTATGATTTGTGAATGCAGTTTATAAGTGAAGGGGCTCTTCCACATAATCTGCTAGCTAGCAATGCTTTAACAATTCCATTGAAGTGCCTTCAATGGACAATGTCACCCTCAGCTTATCCTTTTGTGGTGTAGAGGCAGCTACAATTCTGCTTTTCTACTCTGCTTCAAAACTGGTGTTTTCCAACTTATGCCAGTACAAAACCAGGCTTGTGGTTTCCGCAGTTTAATTTGATCTTAGCCACATTTTACATTTTACATTCCTCTTGGTTGCTGTATGGAGCTGCTGGCATGCCTCGCTTTCCTCTAGTCTAGTGAGTGGTTGCTGCCCTGCATGGCCATGTTATGTCTCTAAGAAAAAGAACACAGACATATAAATTCTGCATCCTCTGTCCTCTATGAGGTAGGTCTCAAATATATTATATGGATTATTTATATATTTCCAATAAATTTACTCAGTTTGCTAGTTCTTATCCATTTGTGCAGCTGGTGTGTCAAATAGGCAACATATGATCAAAAGCTTTACTTCTTTTCTATCAGTGAAACTTAAAAAATAGCAGGTTTATTGGTGGACCAATGAACAGTAGATGTTCTCCTTCTTCTCCCCACTCTTCTTTTGTAACTGGCTCTGTCAATCATCCCTTTAGCCCAAATAACTAGAAGAAAGGTAAAATTATGGTTCTTCTCTTCACCTACCAGTGAACGCTCTTCATGGAAAGCTGTTAGGTAGGAATGGTCATCAACAGAGGGGCATCATATAAAAAGTCTACCCATGAAAAACTCAGTGGACTTCCAGGACTGGAACTGGCTTACCCAGCATTTCAGTAAACACACATGTTGTAGCCTTCTAATTTAGATCAGATTCTTACAACATACTAAGCCATGAAACCTGTCTGACCATATTTACATAAATAATGACCTTAAGCAAAAGATACCCATTATGCCAAGCATAATGTACTAGATCTTAGTAAATAGGGTGAAAAATGTTTTTTCTGTTTTTTTAACTTGAGAGTCAAAACAGGTGTGCATTTGATATAGCCTAGTTCAGGGGTAGGCAACCTTGGCTCTTTTATGACTCATGGACCAACTCCCAAAATTCCTGAGCCAGCCATGCTGAGGGGAAAGGGAGAGGTTTCCAAGCTGAGCCATGCTGGCTCAGGAATTCTGGGAGTTGAAGTCCACGAGTCATCAAAGAGCCAAGGTTGCCTACTCCTGGCCTACTTGATATGCTCCACAAGACTGATAAAGAAATGTATAATACTTCTGGCAATAACTCTTTACTTATATAAAGACTTTATTATTAACTTACAATATTCATTTTAGTTTTAAAATGTTACACCTGGTTACATACCTGGTGTATTTTTATCTCATGACCATTATTAAGGATAAATAGTAAATTGTAGAAACTTAAAAAATGTTATAAACATCGCATGATGTCAGTATTGCAAGAATTTCTCTTTACATGTCACAGATAGGTCATCCTTCCAGACATTGAGCTTGTTCAAGTATATCCCAGTACTGTAAAACAACCAACAGTTACTCAGCCATGGGGTATTTAAGAAGAACCATTTTTTCATTAGAAGTTATCATTAAAAGCCCTCCAAGCAAAACATATACAGTAAATACTACAAAATGTTTCTAAGGTAATCTCTTACATTCACTCCACCAAGTACAGACTTTATTCAAAAACTAATTTAGAGGTTCTGTTTGTGTTTTAATCATTAAGAAAGTATTTTGCACCACAATTTAAGTATGAATATAACATTTACAGTAAGGAAAGCGCAAAGCCGGTTCATCATACTGGAGCCACACCCACCCGATTGCCGGCAACGGCGAAAAAGCTCCGATATGTTGCGCGACGTCATGTGACGTCGCGAGTTTGACATGTCTGGATTACGGTATTTTATGCTTTTGTGGCTCAGTGTCCAACTGAGATGCATCAAATGAATCTTTTTTGGGCAAATGCATTGTGCAGATTGGTCTCAGAGATTGTGAGAAAGGACTCTTATCAGTTTACACGCTGCAAAAAATAACAGTTCTATACAGGTATTCACCTGCTCTTCAAAGTAACCTACTTTGGCTTTGTGCTGTTCCCAACATCCTTTCGTGCCTGGCTGCCAATATAAGGTAATATGGTGTATGAAATATGAGGGTGTTGTTGTTTGTCTGCCAGTGGAGCTTACACAGTGAGACTCCTATGTGCTGATGGGTTTCGCATAAAACTCCCTTTCCTAGTCTTTTGCAAAATATTGTTCTTAAAACACATAGGGGGTGGGGGAGTCCAGCGGTGCCTGGGTTCTTGATTAAGTTTTCTCTGTTACTGTCATGAACCTACCTAAAATTCCCCTTTCATATTAAATTAAAAATAGAAGAACTTTTCAGGATTTTCAGGATTCAGATGTTTTATTTTCAATACGGATTCTCTCTGGTTCTCACTCATCTTCCCCCCTCCCCTTTCTTCTACACAATGTATTACATTCACTTGACTCTCCTTCTACAGAAGGGTTCCACAGGCACAACAAGCAAGATAATACCCTTTACTTCTATGTGGTTGGAAAACAGACCACATCTTTCTTCATCTTGTTTGATGGCCAAACATAAAAACTCGTATCTCCTCTATCTTCCTCTTGCAGAATTTGTAAGCCATAATTCATAGTGATGGTTGTTCTCCTACAAAGAATGCTTATCGTCAAATGACTTTTGGTACCTCCTAGATCAATGTTTTTCAAACTTGTTAACTTTAGAATGAAAGTTAACTTCAACTTTAATTCTTCAACACCCAGAATTCTCCAGTCAGCAATCGTGCCAAGAAAATGAAAGGACTGGTCCAGACCAGGAGTCAACACTGACTTGAAGACACCAAAAGAGAGAGAGAGAGAAAGATGGAGATGTACACTCATTAATTTAAAATTGAGCATTTGAAGCTAGCATTATTGCACAAGCCTCGGGGTAGGAGTATTATGAGAATACAAGTAGTCCTCAACTTACAACAACAATGGAGCCCAAAATTTATGTTGCTAAACAAGATACTTAAGTGAATTCTGTCCCATTTTACAACCTTTCTTGCCATAGTTGTTAAATGAATCACTGCAGTTAAGTTGGTAACATGGTTATTAAGTGAATCTGGCTTCCCCTTTCACTTTGCTTGTCAGAAGTTTGAAAAAGGTGAAAGCTGTAGAAATAGCGTTTAGATTTATGTACTGCTTCATAGTGCTTTACAGCCCTCTCTAAGCGGTTTCCAAAATTAGCATATTGACTCCACAATTTGGCTCCTCATTTCGTCGACTCAGAAAGATGGAAAGCTGAGTCAACCTTGAACCCACCTTGAGCCTGTCAGGATTGAACTTCAGGCAGTGGGCAGAGTTAGCCTGCAATACTGCACTCTAACCACTACGCCACTATGGACCTGATCACATGACCCCAGGACACTGCAACTGTCATAAATACATATCAATTGTCATGCATATAAATTTTGATCATGTGGCCATGAGGATATTGCAACAGTCATTAGTCTGAGAAATGGTCATTAATTCACTTTTTCAGTGCTATTGTAACTTTGAACAGTCACTAAATGAATGGTTTTAAGTTGAGGACTACCTGTATAGCAGGAAGGGTGTCATCTCACTCTGTTGATGAATCTATAGTTCAGTCTGTAGGCTTCAAAAGTCATTCTCCAGCTATTTCACCTTTTCCCATTTGAGATACTTTTGTGGGGTAAAGAAAAAATTTGGGAGAAAGAATAGGAAAACATACAACTGGCTAACAACATCTAAAGTAGACCTTTCATCTAAAACTGCTCAATTAACCTCAATCTCCTTACTAGTAATCCCTCTTTGTTTTCAAAGGATTCCCTATCCCATCTTCTTCCTTATCCAAATTAACTGTTTTGTTTTCCACCTGCATTTCTTTTTTTTTTAACATCAGAAAAGAAAGTCAGCTCAGCAACAAAGAAACAAAACATAAGTTTTTATGTTGTTTCCAGTCTAAGGAAATAAGATTTATGATTGTTCTATATAATCTGATTGTAGCATAACAAATTCTTATGGGCTTGTTATTTTATTAAGTTGTCTGTAAGTTTAAGATGATTTACAGCTTGAGGTATTAGTCTACAAAACATACACTAAGCCTCTGAAAGTTATTACTGTTTAAATAAAAAGTATTGAAGGATCTCAGAGATTACTCAGAGATATAGTTTAATATCACATAATGCAATATAGAAAAGAGAGCCTTTGCTCAACTGGAGCACATAGTTTGTATGCAGAAGATCCAAGGCTGAATCTTCATCTAGAGATGAGGGAGAAAAAAAATCAGCTTGAAGCTCTGATGAGGTGCTACCAATTTGTGTCAATTACACTATGCTAAGCTAGATCATTATATACAGCAGCTTTTCTAGAAAAGAAAGACTAAGCAGATAGAATTGTTGCTTAACCATGTGGACAGTATCAAACTTTGTACTGGCTTAGTAGTGAATTACATACTTCCACACATTTAGGTTAGACTTAGCAGGAGACATGACTCATCTACATTAGAATCTTTATCAGAGACAAGAATGAAGCTTCAAACACAACAGTGCAGGGGTCTCCAAACTTGGTCCTTTTATGACTTGGTGCCTGGCTGAGGAATTCTGGGAGTTGAAGTCCAGAAGTCATAAAAGGACCAAGTTTGAAGACCCCTGCAACAGTGCACAGAAGTGCAAAAAAGTCAGTGCGCTTTGAAGTGCAAAGAAGTTGGAGACTTTATAATGAAGTTCCAGAATCTAGGCTTCTTCATCTCAACCATCTAAATTAACTGAAACCTGGCAGGCTGCTTGATGTCTAAGGGAAGTGGCTGAGATATGATTACATAAAAGCTGTTGGTTCCTGCCTCACTACAAACCAATTCAGTTGTACAAATAGTGATTAAAAGATGTACTCAGAGATGTCAAATGAAGCAGAGGCAGTGATGGACCCAAATGTAAGTTTCAGTTGCTTCGAGAATCCTCTTATTTATAAACTAAATTGCCTTCTCTCTTCGAACAAGGCCAAAAGAAACGTCTTCCTCTTGGTTTAGAATATAGAAAAAGATTCACCATCATATTGGACCAGAGTAATAGTAAATTAATGTAACCTAACAAGAAATTATGCTACAAGCAATAGCTACGGTATCACCAATTTTTTTTTACAAGTACATGAACATTTGAGAACTGAGGTGTGAGCAGGCTTCAGGACAGCTGAACAAGATCAAACTCTGACATATTACTTGTACCGACTTGCTTATGACAACCAGATGCCAAAGATATTCTCTCTCATTGGAGAAGTAGCTTAATGTTTCAATTACTGCACAGAAGAAAATTTCCCTTTCCAGCAGTGATGTGATCCATGGGTAGCCTGATCTGCTCAGAAACAGATAGAGAGGAGAAAAAAGAAAGATTGATAGTTAATAATTAAGGAAAGACTTTAGGTCTGCAGCTAACTAGGAACACATTCACACCACAGTGTTTCTACCAACTCGAAACAAACTGCATTTTTCTTCATTTCCCCTTATCTGAAATGCAGAGAGCCGCATGAGCAAATCACTGCGATCCTTCCAGCCAACCAGTAGAAAAGTAGAACCCCTCCTCTCCACTACTTTTGCTGGAGCAGCAAAGATTCTTGCACTCTCCACATTATTCTAAAAAAAAAAAAAAGATGTAAAATAAATTGCCAGTGCTCATCCCAGCATATATTGTGTGCAATTTTCTAGGCATCTGCGAAACGTCTGAACAGTTTCTGTAAAAGGATAGCTGCAAAACCAACAAGGCACTGCTTCTTTAAAAAAAAAAATCTTTGGCCATCTGATTGTGAAAGAATAGCATGCTGACAACTGTGCAACCATGTGTTGTTGTTTTCTTAGTAATACTATAGTCGACCCATTACTGTGGTATGAGGCTGACTAGTTTGAAGTTCAGTGTGTTCTGCAAACACAACCAATAAACGCTCATGACCTTGAACTAGTCTAACAGAGACACTGCTCTGATTGAATTTATCAGATTTCTCAGTGCCTGAATCGTTTTGCCAGTTTAGTGGATTCCAGATCAAAGCTTGTGGTCAGGGATGATGGGAGTTCTAGATGCACATCTTAGAGACCAAGCTTGGAGAAATCTGGTCAGAACAGTTTGCATAACTATGCAAAGCATCACATTCTGAGCATTTCTGCCTGTTGTCCCTTTAGAAGTTACAAAGCAATGACACAGGCTGGGCCTCCCTTTCCGCCAACTGGCAGAAAAACTAAAAGAAAACAAAATCCTCTCTGGTCTATCTTAGTTCCTGTGTCAGTCAATGGATGGGTAAAAACTGGCAGGATCTTCATAGTGCAGACAGAAAACATTAACCCCTTCCTGTGCTCAGTCAATGGGACAGACAACATCAGTGCTCAGTTCAGTTTTGGCAAAGGATGTGGTACGAATGATTTGCTATGATTTGCCAATCACATTTTACAGCATCCATGCAAAGATAGGCAAACAGAGAAAAGAGTCATAATTTCAGCTATATATATATATATATATATATATATATATATATATATATATATATATGATCATAAATGGAAAAATAATGTTATTTAGATCACTTATGCCCATTTACAAAATACAAAATAGAATATAGCTAGTAAGAGCCTCATTTAGAAGTTTCCCTTTGAGCTGGAGAAAGCTGCCTCTTAAGATTAGGGCTGGGCTGAGAAAAATCTTACAGTTGCAAAGCAGACTAAAGATGAAATCAATTTGCCGGAAAAATAAGAAGCTATATTTTTGTCATATACATTAATAGAGAAATTCTTGAATACTTAGATGGCTACACTGGGGTCCATACAGGATGCTAAGCCAAAATAACACACACACACAAACACACTAAGGTTTGTGTGTAAGTTCTGTCCTCCCTTGAAAAGTGTCCTCCTACATGTCCTCCTTTTCGATATTTGGAGACTAATCTGCAGGGCTTTTTTTTCTCATAGAACGCTCAGAATGGTGTTCTGGCACCTTTTTTTGATGGGTTTTTTTTCAACTTTTGCATGAGCTGTGCTACTCCCACTATTGGCTTTCAAAAGCCAGTAGGAATTGCTGCTGAGCACGCCAAAACACCCGGCTGGCAAACTTTGCATGTGCAAGTTGTCTGTATTATTGTTGCAATGAATAAAATGTTTCTTTTATTTACAATATTTTTTCTTCAATTTATTTGTGTCCTCCTTTTCATTGTAAAAAAGTTGGTCACCTTACATACACACACACACACACACACACACACAGAGAGAGAGAGAGAGAGAGATAACTTAGATGTTGTATGAGTCCTTACATTATGGTTTGTAAAACTTGTTTTATTGCCTAATATATTGAATGAATATGTTTGATAAACTATTATTGCATAGTCATAGCGTATCATGAAGGCGTCAACCCATTTTTAAAAGGAATCAAAACAGAAGCACTTTTTTCAGTGATGCCACACTTTATAGAGAGAAAGCAACACTGAATGAAACTATGTTTCCAAAACGACAGGGATCAAATATGCTTACCAACTTTCTAGATTTTATCTAGACAATTGTGGGGGAAAAATAGAATTTAGGATTCCAAATCAAAAGAATGAGCTAGAGGTTATATTTGTAAATGTTGTAGTTGATTCTCTCCCCTCATCTTCATCCTTACTATTTTATTTGATTCTGGCAGGATTTGGGTGTCTTTAAAAGCTTTACAATTTCAGAAACATTACATATCCCTTATCACCGACATGTTTCTGCCCATCATATAACTATGTATATAGCTATACATTTCTATGAAGGAAAACAAAGGCAGAATCATCAGCAAAGGGTAACTAGTAAAGATTATATCATTGTGGGGGTTTTGTGGCTCACATTAGGCATTAAATGGAAGGGTATAATTAATGGGGCTTGGGAAGCCTAAAGCAGGAGTAGAGGACTGAGGTTTCTTTCAAATGACAGATACTGGGGAAATGTCTTGCAAAGTTTCTCTTATTACAGTTTTATGATGAGAAAAGCTAACCTCGTGGAAGTCTGGCTTCTATGTCATTATACCAAAAAGCTGAGAATTACAATAACTTAGGAACAAAAGGCAGCAAAAAAGGGAGACAGTGATTTTTGTCCCAGAGCCAGTAAAGGAACTTATCATGAGCTTCTTATTCTAGTTTGGCATCCTAGCCTTCGATAGAATGGATCAAAGTAATAGGCAGCAACAACAGGTTGGCTTTACTTCCACTTTTCATTGGCAACAGTATTGTGCTTTTTGAAAGCAGTTGTTATTGGTGCTACTGAGATAGGCTGACAAGGTGAAGAGGGGCTATTCTCTAGTAATCCATAGACAGGCTAGATGGCCTTTAATCGGAGAGCTATCAGAGCTGGTCTGAAAACTCTGGATGATCATAAGATTGCAGCAAAGAGGGTTTTATTTATTTATTTATTTATTTATTTATGAGACTTATATACCGCTTTAAGTGCAAGCACTCTCTAAGCGGTGTACACCAGTAAGCAATGTATATATATATTTACATTGCCCCCAACAATCTGGGTCCTCCTTTTACCTACCCCGGAAGGATGGAAGGCTGAGTCAACCTTGAGCCGGTGAGATTTGAACCGCTGACCTGCTGAACACAGTCAGCTAAAGTGGCCTGCAGTACTGCACTCTAACTGCTGCGCCACCACGGCTCTTTATGTGTCTCTTTGCTGACATCTATAGACCAGAAGTGATAACCTTCCTTAACCTCCTTATTCCCAGAGGTTTCACAACATCTGGTAATCAAACAGTGATATGGTAGGTTCATAATGCTGTAGAAATGGAGATATGAACTGTACATGTGCAATTTTTTTTTTCCTACATAATTATTAAAGGAGCAAGCATTTTGCCTTGTGCTCGGTTATCCTGTGTTAGGCATCTTTCTCAGATATCTGCATGGAAGCATATGAATGTATCATTTATGTACATTGGCTTCATAAGCTATAACTTGCTTTTAAATTATGTTAAGGCAAAACCAAACCATGATGTGTGAAGTCAGATATTTACCTGCTCGGTTAATCACACAATAAACAGACTCTCTCCTGTCTATTGGCAAGGATTAGTCTCCCTTCTGGTATACTAATACTGGCATTTGTAACTTAGGCCTTCAGTACTAGCCATGAGGAGGTCTCATGTATTATGATGTCATCGTAAAAATGACACACATTTCTTAACTGGTATCATTTGTGTGATATCTTTGCACATGTGATGTCACACGTGATGCCTTTTGTCATCTCCCTACAAATACCCCCCCCCCCTTTTTTTTTTTTTTTTACTATTTCTATTGTGCTACTTACCAAGGGTGAAGTCACCAGATCTGTCTTTCTCATACAGAGCTCTGGCAAAGATGAAGCTCAGGGGAGGATCCATGCCTTCTCTCAGGTGGTCCAATCCAGATGGTCTTGCGGTCCTCATAACAAAGCTTTACTAATTGACTGAACTCTAACGGCCAAAGTGGAATACCGGTCAGAAACAATGATGTCTGTAACTATTGGTAATTTGTCCGTGATATTCATAAAATTGACTGAATGAACATTTAATTTCTACAGAAGAGTCAAAGGTTGTGAACAACTGGATTCCTCAGGAGCAGGATCAACATTAGAATACTACACTGTTATAACATACTTCAAGAAGCAAACTGAGAGTTGTAAATGAAAACCTTGCAGGCTAATCCTGGTCCTTCTGTTGGAAAAGCCAAAACTCCCATTGGGTTCAGTCAGCACCAGAATGTGGCCTATTATTGACAAAATACATTTATCAAGGAAGTGAAGTGTGTGTAATGCGGCATGGTTTCGCATTACTTCTTGAATTCTTCAGAACCAACAAATTAATAAACTGAACAAAAGGCAACCAACTTTCCTGCCACATTCTTTTCCAAGAGTCAGGCAAAGAGATTTGGCTTGACATTTAGGAGAAGGAGGAGAAAGAGGATCGGGAAAAACCCCAGTTTTTGGAAGAAATGTTTGTTTCATTGCATATCACATCCTAGGCAAAGGAGCAGAACTTGTAGAAGGAGAATATAAAGCTTGGCTAGGATTGGGACTCGAATTCATCCCAGTGGGAATATAATATAAACTTTCCATATAGTTGCCATCAGGAGCTGAAGGAGCTTCATGCTTTGCAAAATGGTTAAAACCATCACTAAAGTTTGCATTTTCTTTAACAGGCAGTTGGTCTTGGAGATCCAGAGGGCCAGGTGGTGCAGGTGGAGGGGGGAAACCTGGACACCCAGAATATGACATGTAAGGTTGACCATAAATTCCTGGATTCATGACCATTGATGGAAAAGGTGGCTGGTAAAGTCCACTGTGTGACGGCAGAGGAGTTGGTGGTATTAACACTTCAATGTATTGCCCTGTCTCTGGGTCATAAAGCATCTTCAACTGAGGTTGCCTTGGGGATTCTACATACCGTAATAGCATTTTCCACTCTCGGGATCAACCAGCATTTTTCGATGTGCCTGTAGAGGGGCAGCAAAATGTCTTGTTGGGCTTGGAGCACTTTTACCCAAAGGTGAAACTCTTTCATTTCTTCTTGTGAAACTGGGGGACTCTTCATGTCTTAGGGGAAGTTGTTCAAGGCTTGGGGCACTGTATAGAAAATTATCAGAGGGAGTTTTCCTCTCCATTTGTTTTGATGGGAAAAATTCATTGCTCATTTTATTTCCAGATAGGTCTACTCCTGGCTGGAAAGAAATGTTGGAGGTGAATGAAGTGTTATCCATGTGCAAAGGTGGCAACTGCTTAGGGTCTGGCTCAGATGGATGTGTTTTCACAGGAATAGTTAAGTAATTTGTGTTGTCAGCTTGGGTGGTAGAAAAATACTGTTCATTTGTGGCCTGATGGCTGTTATTAAAATAATCACATCCAGAGTCCTGGACCTTTTCACCAGAGGATTTTGGGGTAAACATTGAATTTGACACAAGCTTGATTCCTTCCATATACTCTCTTGCTGTTAATGGGTTATCTGAAATTATACTTTCTGAATGTATTCTGTGGTGGCTGTCTAAGGGTTTTCTGTCTTCCAATGCTGTTGTTTCATATAGTCTATCAACGTATTGATTATTTGTCGGAGTTTGCATCTGCAAGTTTGGAGTATTTATGCCTGGAGCTCGGGTAGCATGTAAGTGCCTATAGTTTACACAGGATGGCAGAGAGTCGGAAAATATATTTTCTTCTTTAGAAAGGACAGAATAACCTTTACCATCTTTGGGACCTACCGAGAGGGTTTCACAGGATCGATGTTTCTGATAGGACGATTCAGCTTCTTGTACTTTGCAAGGGTCCAGCATACGACTTCTGGTTGAACAATTATTCTCCCTCATTGAGATTTCCTGGACGTAGGCAGACGGTGGAATCACAATGATCTCAGATGAAGCAACAGCTTTATTTTCCCTTAAGAGGCTGTGATTAAACTGGGCCCGGGTTTTTTTGTTTGTCCTATCATCGACCGTAGAATAACCCACACAGGGGAAATAATCAGTTGCTGTTGTGTGTGGTGGCTTGGAGATAGAACTGTTCACTTTAATATTAAGCTGAGATTCTTTCTTGGTGGGTGTGGAAGCAGGTCTGACATTTAACTCACTCCTCTCACAAAGTACTAGTTTCTTTTCGATAAGGGGCTGAAATTCTTTATTTCTGACAGCTAACTTCTTGGACTGAATTGTAGCAATATGCATCCCAGAGTCACCTATTGCTGAGCATTTGTTTGATATTATGGGATGAAAATTGTCACTGGACTCCTTCGTACTGGCCTCCTGGAGAGAAAGTGTTGACATATCCAAGCCCTCGGTTTGATCTTGCTTTTTCTCCTGCATGTGACTTCCTGCCGGTATATAGTCTTTCCTACATATTGAGGTGCAGTGTATGAAGAGAGGAGAGATGGCAGTGGATTCCTTTGGAAACCCAGTTAAGTTGTCGTTTTCGTTTTTTTCTGCACAAGAACTCTGGTCAGCACTGGAATCATCGGTGGGTTTAAAGCCAAGGTTGTAAGTCTCTTTCACTATTTTTCTAACGTCTCTGGATTGATGTGTCCTTACATTCCCTTTGTTTGGCATATGACTTCTTCCCTCAGTGAAAGATGCTTTAGGACAATTGAGTCTGCTAGGGTTGTGGAATTTGCCAGAAGCTGGAACAATGATTGAGGACAGTTTCATGCTCTGAAATGTAGGCATCCTCTTGTTGGTGAAACCTCTGTCCCAAGACGTGGGCCTGAAGGCATTGGGAACACTGTGCTTATTCTTCATCTGTGGGATGAGTTTCATTTCTTTAGTTTTGGATATGAAAGTGTTCCTAGAGGTATCTTTGGGCACTGCAAGGCTGGAAGGAAAGGTATCGTCTTTTGAATACAGGACCTTCTTTTGCTGGATAGCTCGCTGCTTCAGATTTGGCCATGGCTTTTGTGACTTTGCAAATTTGGGAGCCAGAGGCAAGGTTTTGGGGTCATCCTGCATGGCCTCAAACACAGCTCGGGCTCTCCAATATTCCTGTCTTTCCCCAGAGGCCTGTTTCCCGACGTTGCTCGATTCTAGCACATTCACCCCATCTTCGGCCAAGACGGGGAGTCTATTCAAGGGAGTGTCTTCTTGGTACTTCATTCTCTCATTCAGCTCATTAAATGTATTCTTTAGCTTGTAGACATTCTCTCTCAGCTGCTTGTTAAGCACAACTCCCTTGGTTGGCCTTAAGGCATTTCTGCTGTCCTCACTGATAGCAATAGATGCAGACCGCTCACTGGGGGTGGACTGGCTCTGCACATCCTCAGTTGAGAAACTGCAATCAGATTTGGACAAAGAACTTGACTTGCCTTCTATGCTATCCCCCTGGAGATCGGTACTGATGGAGGAAGGGACTGAGGAGGGTGAGCTGTCTTGGATGGACACTTGTTCCATTTTAATCCTTTGCTCATATTGCAATTTTTTAGCTAAGACATTTTTCACCAGATCTGAAGCCAGCCTAGTCTTGCTATAAGCATTGCCTAGAGAAGCTGCTTTTAGAAACTGCTTATAATTTATCCGAAACTCATCACTAATATTTCTCCCCTTTGCAGAGGGGTCTTTCCTTGGCTGTGTGAATGACTGCACGGACGCAGGCTCCCCGGGAGGACAAAAGCCTGTCTCCTTCTTGTCCTTCCGTCTCAACTGGATCTGGCGTTTGGGCACCATTCTCTTTTTTGACAGGCTTTTTTTGCCATCTGCATTCTCTTGTCTGAGATCAATGCACTCAAAATGTTCCTTCCCCAGGACCCCACTGAGCAATTCTGTTTCTGGGGCTTTGCCTGGCGGTGGGAATGGCCTGTTTCCTTTGCTGTGGCCAACCACCATTGTTTTCCTCGGATCACTGCACGCCGGCCACCTGTTCATTCCATTCCAGTCTTCTGGCACGGAATTGGACAGGCTGGATGACGTCCCATTACTAGAACTATACATATCTAGGTAACTGCCTTGAGGACACGAGAGGCTCCGGAAAGACCCGGCGGTCAGCTTTTCCACTTCGTTATCAGCCTCCTCGGAATCACTCAAAACACTTGAATTTTCAACAAAATATCTGGGGCATGCCGATTGGCTACTTACAGGACCGTGAGGTCGACTGCCAAGGCTGCTCTTCTTCAGCTTGCGAGCACTGGGCAACATTTCCTTGGATTTATCAGCACTGAATTGTGCAGGATGATCCAAGTATTTAGATCCGCTGCTGTCTCCTGGCTGCAGCCTTGGAGTGACTAGACCCATTCCTCTACCGCATACTGGATCTGAGCTATTATTAGCTTTGATTGACACTTGAACCTGTTGGCTTTCCTTACCACTGGAACAGAGTTTGTCTCTCCAGTTTTGATCTTTTATAGCACTGGGGAGTTCTGCCTGCAGGCTCTGCACTCTTGCCCCTTGGACTGGCACTGAGCCTCCTAAAGTCTTGCTCTTATTTGGGGGGAAATGAACCTGAATGTCTCCAGAAGTTGCCGAAGAACCATTTCCTTTCTCTTGGTAAGAGTTGCTGAAATCATTCAAAGTCTTGTGGGGTTGTCTGGCAGCGGCTGTGGGGAGTCTGCTTTTGCGAGCAAGTTTTGTCTGATCTGCAGAGAGGATCAACAATGCTTGTTCATATTCCGCGTCACAGTAAGTGCATGGCATGATTCGATCCCCTCCAGCTTCCTCCAAGTATTCAATGCAGTCCTTAAAACTCTCGGCCTCTTCTGAGCTCGGTGCTGAACGATAAGAGCTAGAGGTGTCGGAGGTGCAATTGCCAGAAACATGGCTCTCTTCTTTCTCCAGGGCTGAATGGACTCTGCCGCTGTAGTTGCTAAGCTTTTCTTCATTCAGTCCCTCAGGCTGGAAAGAAAATGGGCTCTTACTTGTCAAAGAGGAGAACATCTTTGGTGCTGTGGAGACCATATGAGTCTGCAATGAGACAATAGGAGACTGGATCCTTTTTTCATCCTGAGTGCAGCTGGGACTCTTCCCACTCAAGCCTGAGAACTTGATCTTCTAAATCTAATTGAAGCCCAGGTCCCACCTCCACTCCCCCTGTCTTTAATCCTGTCATGAGAAGAAAGGCCAAATCCTTGCTTGGGTCACGTGGCTTTTCAAACCGTGCTGAGAAAATAGAAACACGTAGACGTGCAAGCACACACATATAAACAGCGTGCTATAAAAACAGCATACCAACTGAAATATCAGCGCTACAATCTGATTGCTTAGGAGAGAGAGAGAGAGAGAGAGAACGCACAACATCACACATGTCAAAATGTAAAGGCTGGTTTCAAAATGCAACCTATTCTGAAAAGTGAACGCTTTGCAGAACATCTGTTGCCCATAAATATAATGAGTTAACATAAAATTACGGGAACCACCAGAATCTTAGGCTTGCAATCCACTAAACATTAAAGAAATGTTAGCTTTTGAATGGTGTTAACTTCATATACATACAGTTGCATAAAATAGTAGTGAGAACAAAGGGGTAAGTATCTGCAAGGATGTTGTCTCGGGATAATTTAAAAAGTCCCTTCCAGCTGTCCTTATATATCTGAAATGTCCATGAATAAGGTTATGGCTGTGAGTAACCGAATCCAGGAATTCTGCTGTACATCATCCACTCTATTAGCAAGTCATCCTGAAGATGAATAGCCTGGCTAGTCTAGTGAAGAGAAGGACGAGGGGGGACATGATAGCAGTGTTCCAATATCTAAGGGGCTGCCATAAAGAAGAGGGAGTCAACTTATTTTCCAAAGCACCAGAAGGCAAGACAAGAAGCAATGGGTAGAAACTAACCAAGGAGAGAACAAACCTAGAACTGAGGAGAAATTTCCTAACAGTGAGAACAATTAACCAGTGGAATGGCTTGCCCTCAGTCATTATGGGTGCTCCAACACTGCAAGCGTTTAATAAGAAATTGGACAACCATTTGTCTGAAATGGTATAAGGTTTCCTGCCTGAACAGGGGTTGGATTAAAAGACTTCCAAGGTCCCTTCCAACTCTGTTATTCTGTTATAGGTAATCCTCAACTTATGACCACGATTGAGCCCCAAATTTCTGTTGTTAGGTGAGACATTTGTTAAGTGAGTCTTGCCTCATTTTACGATCTTTCTTACCTCAGTTGTTAAGTGAATCACTGCAGTTGATAAGTTACTAACCCGGCTGTTAAGTGGATCTGGCTTCCCCTTTGACTTTGCTTATCTGAAGATCGCAAAAGGTGATCACATGACCCCAGGACACTGCACCCATCATAAATATGAACCAGTTGCCAAGCATCTGGATTTTTGATCACATGATGATGGAGAGATTGCAAAGGTTGTAACTGTGAAAAACGGTCATAAGACACTTTTTTCAGTGCCGTTGTAACTTTGAAGAGTCACTAAATGAACTGTTGCAAGTTGAGGACTACCTGTATTCTGTTAACCTATTTTCCAAAGTTCCAGAAGGCAAGAGAAGAAACAATGGATGGAAACTAATCAAGGAGAGAAGCAACCTGCAATTAAGGAGAAACTTTCTAACAGTGAAAACAATTAACCAGTGGAACAGCTTGCCTTCAGAAGTTGTAGGTTCTTCATCACTGGAGGGTTTTAAAAAGAGACAGGACAGCCACTTGTTGGGAATGATATGGTCGCCTGCTTGAACAAGGGGTTGGACTAGACCAGGGGTCCCCAACCTATGGGCCGTGGCCCGGGAACGGGCCACAGGCTCTTGGCCAGCAGGCTGCGGAAATGGTGCACACACACGTGAGCACGCATTCCCCCCCATTCATGCTGGTGCCCGCAGCCCTGTTTGCGCATGCACACGGGCGCGAACAGGACCGCTAGCGCCGGGTGAGTGTGTGGGCCATTTGCGCATGCACGAAGGGGGCTGCCAGCCACCACAGGGGGTGCGTGGCCATTTGCCACATGCGTGAACAGGGCCACTAGTGCTGTGCCAGTGCACGTGGCTCTGTTTTTGTGTGTGTGCGCGTGCATGCCCCAATTTGGAAGCTGCTCTCCTTCCCTCCGGGCTGCGAGCCCAGAAAGGTTCGAGACCTCTGGACTAGACCTCCAAGGTCCCTTCCAAAACTGCTATTCTGTTATACCTGAAACTCAGTGCATAATTTGCCCACTGTGTCTTCTCCATCTGGTGATTCTGCATGGCAATGGGTTTGCAGAAACTACTTCATGCACCTCCAGCCCCTTCTCCTCCTCTTTAAATCAGCCAACTGCTCAGTTTTGAATCCACCAACAGATCTACACTGCCAATGTTGATTTTAGCCTTATTTCTGAGGGCTGTGTGAAATCAAGAAATGTCCCTTCTCTCTCCTGTTACACATCGAAAGGAAAGCATTAAAAGACCTATTTTTTTTCTAGCAAGATTACCTAGAAGACATTTGGGTTATTCTTTGTTATTTACATGATTATGTGCTGGTGAAAGGGAGCTTTAGGGCAAATGGGCTTCCATCTGTGAACCATGAGGAGAAAAAAAATGTAAAAGGAAAGGAGGAAATTGGGTTTCCATTGATTTGCTGTTAACAGCCATATAAATACCAGGCCTTTGTTCCTCAGCAAAAGCAGGGGGGAAAAAAATCACTGCATGAGCCAGTTTGATATAGTGATTAAGCTGCAGATCTCGAAACCAGGCAACTATAAGTTCTAGTCCCGACTTAAACGTGAAAGGAGGCTGGGTGATTTGGGGCCAGTCTTCCCTTTTCTCTTTCAACTCCTCACAGGGTTGTTGTTGTGGGGTAAATTGAAGGAGGAAGGAATATTAGGTATGTTTGCCATCTTGAGTCAATAATAAAGGTGGATAAAAAATGTAAAAATCTAATGGTGGACTAAATCTTAAACTCAGACAGTAGACGGTTGGAATGTGGCTGTTTTTGTCTTATACTTTGTTTGCAAATGTTTTAAAAATTGTAAATTTCCTAGAGTGTAGCTGGGTGTCAGGTGGCATTACTCTTATTATAATTATATTATTATAATAACTCTGGTGGTGCAGTGGTTAGAATGCAGTATTGCAGGCTGCCCACAGCCAGGAGTTCAATCCTGACAGGGCTCAAGGTTGACTCAGCCCTCCATCCTTCTGAGGTCTGTAAAATGAGGACCTAGATTGCTGGGAGCAATAGGCTGACTCTGTAAACCGTTTAGAGAGGGTTGTAAAGCATTACGAAGTGGTAAATAAGTCTAAGTGCTATTGCAATTATCTGGTGATGAATTTTCAAGCTAAACTAGAAGGACTTCAAATAAATCAATAATTTTTGGAGGGCATGAGAAATTAGAAGAGCACATTGTGAGCATTGTCACAAAATTGTTACTGGGATAGTGGGAAACTTGACTTTCCAATTCACAAAATTAGGGAAGTGGTCAATCACAAGATAAAATATAAAGCAGCAATACGAAAGGGGAAGTAACTTGGCAAAAGAGCTAGATCAGTTACTAGGAAAAGCTGAGGCTTTAATTGCAGAATTCAGATCCCCTCTTTCTGAACAGAATCTCCTGCTCCAGTATTCACTACAAAAAGCAATTTGATGAGGCCCAGAAACTGTCAACTCAATGATTCAGACTCCGCAAATCCAAATCACGTGACTCCCATGCATAGCACAAAGAATACTCATTTCAAAGAAGTGACATAGGAAAACATTCACAGAAGCAAAATACTAACATCCACAATGGCCTACATAATGCAAACAAAAAAAACCAAAGCTGGCAAGCTCATAAATTAAATAGGCACAAAATGAAGTGGTCTCTTCATTTGGTCCACCAGTATCCTACCAGGGTCTTTGGACTACTTTGACTCTCCAGGTTGTCTTTTTTTTTCTATTTTTTTTTCGAGGCCCATGTTTGAACAAAGAACATGCATGCAGTATACTGGTATTCTGCTTCGCAGTCTCTCCCATTTGGTTTCTCCTGACAGCAGAAGCTCTTTTCAGAGGGTGTTTAATGAGATGTCCAAATTGGGACTTCTGACTTGTTACTAAGGTAGTTTTGGAAGCCGTCCCCTCCCGCTTAGCCCTTATTCCTGGTCTCCAGTCAGGACAGAAAGTTGACACTGTGACCACTTGCTGCTAGAACACTCCTGCCCTCTCCGTTCCATTTCATAGCAGGCCAAATGCTTTGCATAGAGAAGACCCCACTCACTTTCTGGTGTCTCCAGATAGGATTGAAAAAAATGTCTGTCTGAAAGTTTGAAGAGCTGCTGCCAGAAGATCAGATTGCTTCAAGAGGCATGAAATTTATGTTCCCACAAATCCATTCAGCCTGTTAGGCCTTTGTTTTTCTACTGGAAAACTGCTTGCTAATCTCCCCACCCCCTAATGCACTCTTCCTAGCTATTGTTAATTGAGTCCATCTTAGAAATGTGCCATTGTGATTGCTGCTTTTGGGGAAAAGCCCTTGATTCAAATGCTGCTGGGATGCCACCTTTGCTCAGCACAGCCAACTAGTAGAAAACCTTTGATGTGTCTCTTGGTGTATTTGTTAATAGTTTCTAAGATCAGTCTTGCCCCCCCCCCCATAGCAGCATAGCAGGAAGGATGCATGCAATACCAAGCAAGTGTCCATAAACACCCACTTGCAGAAGAAATATGTGTCAAGGCAAGCAAGTTGGACGGAGGCTAGAAATGTAGTTATGAAGGGAAGGAAGTGATGTTCTTTTTCACTCCCTGATTTTCTTAGAACATTATCATTAACTTTTGTCAGCTTTGTTGAATAAGCTTATAAACATTATTTGTTTCCTCTCCCCTCTGGCCCTCATTATTACAGAGTGGCTTGAGCCAACAATGATCATCAAGCTCTTTTCAGTGCTAGTTGAACAATTATCTGGTCACAAGCAGAACATGCCACCTTATTTATTTATTTATTTCATGTAAATGTCACAGAGCAACTCTGGGTAGTGCACAATTAAAAACATAAAAACCATATAAATACTATGTTTCAAAAGGAGGCAGATAAAACAGAAATAGAATATTGCAATTAACGCTAGTATTAAAAAAAAAACTATATTCCAGTAGGAGGCAGTTAAAAACAGAAATACTGTGTTTCCCCGAAAATAAGACCGGGTCTTATTTTGCCTCCAA